GTGTGTATGTGTGTATGTGTGAGATGTCAATAACTTCAGTTTTTACATAGAGAGCAAATAGAGACTTAATTATTGCTGCAAGCACAAACTGATAAATGAAATTTAAACTGAAAAGGAGAATCTGTAAGATATATAATATCTGTATAAAGGAAACTATATTATATTATAATTATATATAATATAAATGTTTTATACATATATATCATATATATATTTAGCTGTATATGAGCTAATTTCAACTCTTACTGAATAAAGTCACGATTAGATAATATATGAGAACTGTTTTGAAACCTTAAGTTTGGAGAATTAGAAGCTTTTCTCACCAAATTATTAATAATCAAATAACAAGTGATTAATAAAATAACGGGACAAAATAACAACAAAGAACATTAGAAAAGCTAAAAAGCTCAAAGAAAAAAAAGACAAAAAGATAATAAAAATAAATAGTTAAATAATATATATCATCATTTCTATAATAATATGATTTAGAGATTGTAATAATAAATATACAGTCTGCATACACACACACTCACACACACACACACACCACACACCATACACACACACACACACACTCACTCACACACACACGACACACAGTGAAGTGCGTTGCTGTCGGAAATTGACGCGGTGCGGTCGACTGAACAAACACGAACAACAAACCACAGAAGAAGAAAACACGTATTGACGAGGGGCGATCGATGCCCCTAAATTCTGTCGCTATGGTGACAGCCTGTCAGCAAGAACACGGAGTGACAGGTGTACATCACATCGCTATGGCAACCCCCAGAGTCCAGAAAGTTTTTCTGAAAGTCATGGAGGGAACAACAAAATGTGATCAATGTGATCAATCAATATGATCAGTATGATCAGTATGAGAGGAACCTTAAAGAGACAGACTGATGTCATCAGAACTGAACCTGACTGATTATTGATTATTGATTAGAGATCTGATGGATAGAACGATGTGTCGCTGTAAGGTCAGGTTACAATCATCAGGGAACGTCTGGTGCGGACCCCACCAGCAGCAACTGATGCTGATTGGTCGTTGTTGGTGTTACCTGAGCAGGTGGAGACCAATGTGTTCCAGTCTGGACCTTTAATCTGAAAACCAGTTAAAAATATTCTTAAGCACTCTTATTTGGTATTTTGTTCCACAGTAACAAAGTCAGTGTCACTTCAAATTACAATACTTAGAAAATGAGTAGCAGACAGACAGGAGTTCATCTGTAGTTCTAAACTGAAAGCAGAAGTGTGTTTTATTTTAAAAACAGGAAGTTGTTTTAATTAAAGTGTAGCTCTTACTGAGAACTCCTCCTTCCTCCTTTATTTAATAAATAAAGCTAATGAAACTCATTCTGTGATTAAAGAGCAGAGAATGTAAAAGTACACAGTCTTTACTCAGTAGAAGAATAAAAGTAAAAGTACTCTGTTGGATATTCCTAATGACTGTTTCTGTGCAAAGCTTAATACTGTAATGGTGTAATGATGCAAAAATAAAAATCAATATTTCTGCTTCATTGCATTGACACTAAAGTAACAGTCAGATAGAAAGCCCAGATATTTGTGTAAAAATGTAAAAAGTCAGAAAAATAAATATTCAAGTTAAGTACAGATGACGTCTTTGTATTTAATTATGTCCCACCAGGATCAGAAATAATGTTTA